CTCTCAGCCACAGGGATGATAACAGACTCCTTGCAGTGTCTAGAGCCAGGGAACTTCACTACCCCTCACTGGTTTCCCTTAACCCTGCCCACACCTTTTAAAATAGACCCATCATTACAACCTGGCCAATGTGGTAAAACCCCATCTCTACTTAAAATATAAAAATTATCTGGGCATGGTGGTGTATACCTGTAGTCACAGCTACTTGGGAGGCTGAGGCAGGAGAACTGCTTGAACCTGGGAGGCGGAGGTTGCGCCACCTCACTCTAGCCTGAGCGACAGAATGAGACTGTCTAAAAACAAAAACAAAACAACAGACTGTTCATTAAGTGTTCTTTGATTGCCCCATTTAAAAGTGTTTCCACAGGACCTTGACTAGCACTGGTACCTGGATGATTTACTCACTCCTCTCAGACGCTGTAACAGTGAACATCAAAGGCTTTAGAATCCCTTCAACCTGAGCTCTGCCTTTTCTTTTTTTTTGAGATTTAGTCTTGTTCTGTCACCAGGCTGGAGTATCAGTGGCATGATCCTGGCTCGCTACAAACTCTGCCTCTTGGGTTTAAGCGATTCTCCTGCCTCAGCCTCCCAAGTAGCTGGAACCCCAGGCACGCGCTACCACATCCAGCTAATTTTTGTATTTTTAGTGGAGACAGGGTTTCATCATGTTGGCCAGGATGGTCTCAATCTCCTGACCTTGTGATCCACCTGCCTCGGCTTCTTAAAGTACTGGGATTCTAAGTGTGAGCCATTGGGCCTGGCCAGCTCTGCCATTTTCTAGCTGTGGGACTCTGGACAAATGACAAGCTCTCCATGTCTCATTTATAAAATTAGGATTTTAAAATGACTTTTCACCCAGGATTGTTGTGAGGATCAAATGAAATAATCTAAGAAAAATGTAACATGGTGCCAGTCAGTTAAGGACCATCTATGAAAGGTGGTCCTTGATCCTTAGTAACCTTCTGCTATTGCTAGCCTGCAATGGCTGACTGCCACACAAAGAGGCCAAATAGCCCAAATGAAGCCCCAAAACCTCATTTATGTATCCTGAAGGGGTGCAGAAGAAAGCTGGACCAAGTGGGAAGCTGCCTGCTTTTAACCCTCGAAGGGTATCCTGGGTGAGGAACGCTGCTCTTGTTTTTTTGGGTTAAACTCTGACAGGCAGGGTGGGACATCCTCTGGCTCTGGCTCCAAGTTCCACCCACAGTCCTTATTAGTTCATGACCCTGGCGCTTGTTGCCAGAGATAAAGGAGTAACTGGAACCAAGGCACATTTCTTAGAAGGGATGTGATCCCAAATGCCTGACTGCGTAGCCCTGGCTCTCTTCCTGAGGTTCTCAAACTGGCAGATCTGTTTCAGCTTTCAGCATCTGAGTCCCTGCCTGGGGTATCTAACACCCCTCTCTTCCTAACTGTAAGAGAAACCCAGAAAATCAACCCTAATGGAGTTCTGTCTTTTAACAAATGTGGAAGGTGCCAATTTGCCCCCGTGAAGTCATTTTCCTTTTTTCTTTGTAATATTCCATTAGCTCAGTCCTTCAGGATTGCTTGTGAGATGGAAGGTGGGGAAGGGAGAGGTGAGAGTGAGAAGGACCAGCTCAGTAAATGGGAGGTCACTGTGAAAGGGAAGAGCAGAGACAGGATTCATGTTAAGAGCACAGAAAGGATGAAGACTTCAGCAACACACAGTCTGGCTCCCTTAATTCAATACTACTTATGAGCTCTGGGTTTTATAAATGCAGGAACCTCTACATTTTCTTCCCCCTGTGACCATCAGAAATAGCCTAGCTCTGAGATCTTCTGAGAGCTACCATGTTAAAACCCCAAGTGGATGTTTCAGTAGAGCTGGCTCTTGCTTTATTGAAATACAACATTGGTGTGCTCATGCATTCCACCCCTGCTCTACTCAACTCTGGCAGATGAAAATTCAAGTTTGGAGAGGAAGGATACTGAAGAAGAAAAACACCACCTTGGGATTCCTGGAAATAGCAACTTCTTTCTGTAACTCCCCCACAGAGCACAGGCACTGCTGTTCACTATATTTAACAACAGCAACAACAACAAATCAATTTCAGAGACACAGCACAACTATTGTACTAAGAAGGTAGCTAGAATTTGATACAAACAAGTAGGTGGATCGGACTTCAGCTGACATTATATGGTGAAAACAGATTCTGCGGCAATGCAATTTAATTGTACTTGGGCCTGTGGACATTGGCATGATTGGACCACACAGCAGGTTTGACTCAGAGCATAAGCTATCCCAAGCACAGGTGCCAAAGGGGTTCCCCAATTCTTTACATCCACCTCACTTCCTTCTGGGATTCTGGCGCTGTGTCCTCCAAACTGAAGACTGCTGCTCTGGCTACACCGCATTTTAGATGGCTAACCGAGGGAAACCTGAACCTCCCAGCATCCATTTCCGCATCTAAGAAATGAACAACCTCTAACTGAAATATGGCTGCTGTGAGAAGTGCTGGGAATGTACAAGAGAGTCTAGGCACTCAATTAGTGATGGCTAATAACAATAACTATTATTGTGGAAAAAAAGAGAAGGAGGAGGAGGGAAGGAGGAGGAAAAGAGGAGGACAGTGAATTTTAATTACATGAAGAAGTCACCCCCTAGAGCCATCTGGGTAGTATAAGAGTGATTTTATAGGATGCTTTAAAAAAAATCTTAACGTTCTCTTAAATGAGCTTGCTAATTTTCTTGATAGGATTATTTCTTTGTTTCTAAACTTCTGCATTTTATTCCATTTTAATTATACATTATTTTAGTTCTGACATCAAAAAGTGCATCATCTGTTTTTATCTTTTTCAGCCTCATCCACATCCTTGGTTACTGTTGCTCAGTAATCCTGGGGTCACCCAAAGTATTTTTGTTCTAGAGACCTTTTAAAGGAAGCCAAGGCAGTGGTTTAGAAAATTTGTTTATAGACAGAAATACATCAAAACAACCAAGGGAGTGATTCCTCTCTGGGATAATTATTTTTAATGCCTTACTGGACACGTTTGAAATGCTTTTCAGGTCTTTTGGAAGTCAAATTAGGAGAAATTCTTTTTTGTTTGATTTTTACATCTTGGAACTTGATCTTTCGTTTATGTCTGTGTGTTTGCACATCTTGTAATACTCACTCCCCCTCACCCCCCGCCGATGCTGTCAGCATTTCATCAGCATCCAATAGGCAAATAATACAGGGTGAAGAAGATTCACAATTTCTTTGTGGCTCTCTGGTTATCTTCCTTTGACTCTGCTACTAAATGCAGCTCTAAAACACTTGTGCTTTTGGGTTTGATCAACCAGTCCCTTCAATTCAGTTCCAAACCAGAAGAGCTCCCCCTTCGGGTATCCTTGTTGCTAAACCTCTATGAGACATCATTGACTTAATTTAGGCAAAAAGATGCTGTTAGTACTTCAGGTATCTTTATATGTCAGGTCCTCCTCCATGAAGTATGAGGATGCTTTCCTAATTTTCACAATATAGTGATGAGCTAAGTATTTACATACTCACCAGGGGCCCTCTTTGTAAAACTTAATTAAGTGGCCTTCAGTCTCCCTGAATAACCTAGGGAGGAACTGGAGAGAATTCTTGGATATGGTAAAAGCGAGCGTTGTTACAAGGATACTTCCTGTATCCTTGCACATCCTGGCTCAGTGATGATTAAGTCCTGAAGCACAGCCAGACGGTAAGCAAGTTGAGGGCCAGGTTTGTGCATCCCGGTTTAGTTGCTGGGCTTGTAAAAGGTACTCAGTAAGTGCAAATCAATGAATGCTGCTCCAGAAAGACAGATTTTATTTCCTGGCCTTGGGCAAAGCTCTGCCACTAACTAGGTGCATGATCTCTGGCAGATCCTATCAATGTCTTATCTGAAAAATGAGGGGTAGGACTAGACACTTGTAAAGTCTCTTGCAGTTGTAACCTGCTGCAAACTGCTGATTCAGCCTGGTGAGAAATCATCCTCTGTATTCTGCCCCCACTTAGTGATAGCCGGGAAGGTACCAGGCTGAGTTAGGACAAGAGAATGGTGACATTTAGATTCCTCTCACCCCAAATAATTACTTAAAATATGTACAACATCGCTTTAAAAATGAAGAAGGGAGCTGACTCAAATATTCTCATCTTTTGAAAATAGCTCTGTTGATGGGATTCAGCAGGGGAACTGTAGTCTCTGGTGCTCTCTAGGCATGTGACCCACCTGAAATGAGCAGGTGACCTTTTATTTTTTTGAGACAGCATCCTGCTCTGTTGCCCAGGCTGGAATGCAGTGGCATGATCTTGGCTCACTGCAACCTCCGACTCTTGGGTTCAAGCATTTCTCCTGCTTCAGCCTACTGAGTAGTTAGGACTACAGTCCCATGACACTATGTCCAGCTAAATTTTTTTTGTATTTTTAGTAGAGATGCGGTTTCACCAGGTTAGCCAGGATGGTCTCAATCTCCTGACCTCGTGATCTGCTCGCCTTGGCCTCCCAAAGTGTTACGATTACAGGCACTGCGCCTGGCCGACTTTCTTTTATTTTTAAAATCTGGTTTCCAAACACAAAGATGATCAAGAAGCTGCTCTGGCATTGTACACCCATCTCAGATCCATCTGTAATAGACATATGAGAACAAAGTTCAGAGACTCCAGTTGCCTTTAAGGAAACAGGGCAGACTTGACCTAACAGATGTTCATGTTTATCCAATAATAATAATGATACACTGTGTTTATTTGGAACATGACTAAATTGTTCATGCAGCTTCAAGGTCCCAGTGCAAAATCCTGGATTCAGACGCTGTGGATTTATCACACCCACCGGAGGATACTGGCTTCACTAACCTCTGAATGGATTACCGTCTTCCATTAGAGTGGGCTCATCCTTTCCAAAAGATAACATCTTGCTTCTCTGGCCTGAATTTCCCTTGACTTCTTTCAAAACACAATTTGCGAAAACAATGTGTGAGAACACGTGACAATGGGAAGTGCTCAGCGGGAATACTGCAATAAATATGTCAGATATATAAACTAGCTGATGATATTTATTTGGTTCTTAAGAAACTTTCTTAAGAAAGTTTGGGATATAATAAATTACAATACTTTTTCAACATCTCAGATTTCTCCAGTAACGCATATATGCTGGCAGATCTTAGTGAATCATGCTAATTTATTTGTAAATCATCAAAGGGAAGCATAAAATATATGTCTCCAGACAAGTGAATGGACTGGGAAGCCAAATTGGGCAACAGCAGTATTTTCCTATGCCAGATATAAACATGTCGACATGGTGACGAGGGTTCTGTCCCACTCCTGGCTGAACTTTGAAGGGTGAGATGGCTAATATCGAGGGACCCGGCTTTGTAGTCCGTTCTCACAAAGCATTCCATGAGTCAAGAGAAGGACAATCTACAGCATGACACAGAGAACTAGGTCAGAATAGTATTTCTTAATGGAGATTCCTATGATGTATTCATTACAGCAGTGGTTCAGAATTTTCTGTGCCTTGATAGGTTGTATTTTTAAACAGGCACCCATTTTTAAATTTAATGTGATATAAAACTGAGTTCCAAGGAATCCCTATTATGTAAGTGGTAAAAAATGATGTGGAGGAGAGGAAGCAAAATATGCACATATCCATGTATTATACACTATTAGTATTTCAAAGACCATCTCTGGGAACATAAAAGTTTATGCTGCCCTTGATTTGCGTGGTTTTAAAAAATACCAGCAATATTTAGGGATCTTGGACCATAACATCAGAACAGAAACTCTTTGCCCTGAATTTGCGTGTGCTCTCTGGCTTTCTTTCTTAATGCTCTACATGGATTCTTCCTCCTTTCTGGTTAAATGAGTTTATCCACAATTTCCTTTGTGAATTGCATTTCCACATGACTTGCCTCTTCTTATGTTTTTCTCCTTGACATTTGTTGAGCTTGGGGAGAGACATCCGCCAGCTCCACTGGGTGGGATGGAGGAATCTAGCCCAACATCCTCTTTAGTTTTTTTTCTTTTCTTTTGACTCCAGCTAAAAACGATGTCAGCATTCCTTCTTCTAACAGTACCCTATGGCAGGGTTTCTTAGTCTCAGCACTACTGATATTTTAGCCTGGATAATTCTTTATTCTGGGGGTCTGTCCTGTACATTACAGAACGTTTCGCAGCATCCCTGGCCTCTACTCACTAGATGCCAGGATTGTGCATCTAATGAGTGCCTTCTTTTTTTTTTAACTAGGGCTGAAGTATATAGTGGCATGATGTTGGCTCACTGCAACCTCTGCCTCCTGGGCTCAAGCGATTCTCCTGCCTCAGCCTCCCGAGTAGCTGGGATTACAGACGCCCACCACTACACCCAGCAATTTTTTGTATTTTTAGTAGAGACAGGGTTTTACCATGTTGGTCAGGCTGGTCTTGAACTCCTGACCTCATGATTTGCCTGCCTCGGCCTCCCAAAGTGTTTGGGATTACAGGCGCTAGCCACCGTGCCTGGCCTAATGAGTGCCTTCTTACTGCAAGTAGTGACAGCGTCTCTAGATATTGCGAGATATCTTTTGGGGAGCAAATCAACTCAACTGAGAACAACCACTGCCCTAGAGCTCTCACCAAATCGTTGGCAGATTCTGGAGAACAGTGGTAAAGTCCTTTGCAGTGTTTTGATTCTGGTTCTAGTTAATTGATGATTAATGGATAAAAGATGCTTTTTAAAAAATTACCAATAGAGATATTCTAAAAATTAACAAATCAGGTTAATGTGAATCAGGTCAGATCTCCCAGAAAACTACAAAAAGGTACAATATTATTGTCTCTCCTCTTAAGAGTTTACAGAACCACAATTTTAATGCTGTGGACATAGGGTTGAAATAAACTATCAGAGAATGTCACTGTATCTTTTGAAACATTATTGCTGAAGTCACTAACCATTGTCTGATAACTCTTATAGAAAGGCAGTGCCTGTAATCCCAGCACTTTGGGAGGCCGAGGCGGGTGAATCACGAGGTCAAGAGATTGAGACCATCCTGGTCAACATGGTGAAACCCTGTCTCTACTAAAAATTCAAAAAATTAGCTGGGCATGGTGGCATGTGCCTGTAATCCCAGCTACTCAGGAGGCTGAGGCAGGAGAATTGCCTGAACCCAGGAGGCAGAGGTTGCGGTGAGCCGAGATCACGCCATTTTACTCCAGCCTCGGTAACAAGAGAGAAACTCCGTGTCAAAAAAAAAAAAAAGAAAGGCAGTAAGGTAAGTTATTAGAGTTTAGTACTAGAAAAAGTTCATCTCTTCTGAAAAACTAGGCTTCTTTCCTTCATTGCACCATGAAAGATATGAAACCAGTGCTATTTTTCCCTTTCCTACTTAGCTGTCAGGAAGTTCAGAATTGTATTATGTTCAATTATAGAAACTATCTGCATCCTTTGATACTAATTCAATCTTTTTTTCTTCTCATTAGCCCCACTTAGCCCATATTTTACCCTTGCTCTAATGGCTTTCTTAAATCTTTTTTTTTTTAATAAAATTTTAAGCAAGTGAAGTCCTTATTTACCATCAAAAGTAGAATACTTTTGGGAGTAAAAGAAGAGTAATTAATAATTAAGCTGGGACAACAGCTTGAGCCGAGACTGTACTGAGCAAAATCAAAATGTGGTGTCACTCTAGATACAAATAATAAATAAAACAGATAACATTTATGCCATTCCCAGCTTGGAGATAATTAAAGATAAACATGTGCCCGACATAGGGAATGAAAGCTAAGTTATGTGCTTCTTATTTATCTTGTGTCACATCTGTTGATTAGAGTTTAATATTTATTATTTCTTGGGAAATTTTGTAATTAGCCTCTATTGGTAGAGGAAAAAATACTGGGCTTTCTAAAATGTACTTAATTTCTACCAAAGCAAGGGGAGGGTCTTTTAGATCTGGAACAGTGATCACAATAGAAGTGTCATTTGTTTGTGATTTATGGAGACTTGGAATAAATGTACTATTGACCAGTGTCAGATTTCTAATGACTAGATCTTGTTTTTCCTAAGCAACTTCTCATAAACTTTTGTCATATTTTGAACAGCAAGCTGATACGGTGTTCCAGATAGTTTACAGAGCTATTAATAAATGCTATGCGGTAACTCCAGGAAGAGAATCGAACTACTTTTTCTCCCCATTGGCTGAAACCAATTTCCTGCTTATTCTGAAAAACACGGGATTACCAATGTCCTCGACATATGCTGGGTATTTTGCAAAGAAACCCATTAAAAATATATGAGATTCAAAATTTTAACCTAAAGGGCTCATAGTCAAAAAGAAAATCATTGCCAATGTCTTGGTTGCAAAGTCTTTCATATGCGAAAGAGTGAGATTTCAGTGTGGTATAGGTGAGTTTAAAAGAAGCTAGAAATTACTTTCTGTGTTTTTTCAGAATCATGCTGTAATTCAAGCTCTTACAGGCTCATCTGTTTTAAGTCATAGCTAATATTGTCTGATTAGAAAAATCGCAAGTTTAATAACTACCAGTTACTGATTTCTTACTACATGCCAGCACCATGTAAGCAATTTACATATGATGTTTTAATTTGTTATGAAAACAATCCTGTAAGGTGGCAGTATCATTAGCCCTGTTTTACAGTTATGAAAATTAAAGCTCAGAGAAAAGTCACTCAAAAGGAAGTCACTCAAAGCCATACAGAAAACAGTAGCAGAGGAGGCTTTAAACCCCAGCCATCTGATCCCAAAGCCCTGCTCTCTGTATTACTGTAAACTGCTACAGTAAAAATCTCTTTGTGTGAAAATTATAAGGCTCAATCCTTGTCCCAAGAAGATGGCCAGAGAACAGGAACAATAACTGTAGCAGTGACACTTACATGGCACATACTCTATGCTAGGTATTGTTTTGAAAGACTAAAGGTACTATGCCCACTTGAAAATGAAGAACCGTGAGAGCAAGCAACATGCCCCAGTGTTCTGAATAGACATACTCCTTTCCCAATGTTCACATGAAAGATGCCATGATGGTCTTCTGCACTGTCCAGCACTTTGTAGTTTTCAAATCACCTATGGATTCTTTATTTCGTTTTATATCATCTCCATTTTACAGATAAAGCTACTGAAAAATTGAGGGCTGAAGCTTTTTCCCCAAGATCATGGTAACTGGCTGAGAAAGGAATTGAGTTCTGGTGTTTTTATACCTATGCCAGAATTCTTTATCCTGGACGAGGCTGCAAACCTGAAATGTGGCTTTAAGGAACAGTGCTATTCTAAGAGTGTCAGGCTCATGTTAACTTACAGGCTTCTGTACTAAAAGAAGGAACCTAAGCTTGATTTTGAGGCAAAAGCCACACATTTCCTGTTTTAGGGTTCTGGAATAGGGAAAAATGATTTAAATTTCCTTCCAGTTGGCAACAACCTCGTTTAAGGTCAGATTCAGCAAACGTTTCTCTTCCTGCTCTTCCCCCGATCCAACAAGAACAAATATTTGCACCTTCTCTGAATTCACACCAATATCAATACTAAGCCTACAACTTATTAATTAATTAGAAGCAAACCATGTACTGAATGCTTCCTAACGTCAGAGAAATTTACATGCCTTACCTTACCTAGTCCTCATGACTTTCTGTTATTTCTTATCTTGAAGAGAAGAAAACTGAGTTTCTCAGGGATTAAGTAGCTTTCAGAGTCACTCAGCTAGTGGTGATGATTTTAAGCCACCTATATAAAGAGCTGCCCTGCCGATTCCATAAAGTCCAGTCTTGTGGGCAGAGATTTATCCAGACCAACCATTCCAAATCTTTCAAATCCTGCACTTCTTCCTAAAAACACATTGAAATGTGGTAGCATGGGCAGAAGGCAAAAAGAAGTGAGGGCTATCTGTTGCTCCTCATCCCCATCTCACCTTTAGTCATTCTCCAATCTTACAGATCTCCTTGTTCTTATATAGTAGTTACTACTATATGAAAATATCTCGGCTGGGCACAGTGGCTCAAGCCTATAATCCCAACACTTTGGGAGGCCGAGGTGGGCAGATCACAAGGTCAGGAGATTGACACCATCCCAGCAAACATGGTGAAACCCTGTCTCTACTAAAAATACAAAAATTAGCTGGGTGTGGTGACATACACCGATAATCCTAGCTACTTGGGAGGCTGAGGCAGGTGAATGGCTTGAATCCCAAGAGGCGGAGATTGCAGTGTGCCAAGATCGTGCCACTGCACTCCAGCCTGGCAACAGAGGGAGACTTTATCTAAAATAGAAAGAGAGAAAGAAAATGTCTCATTTGTTTCCTTGTAAAGTATCAGTCATACCTACTGGAATATTAACTGTGAGAGCAACGTAAGCCTGTCATTACCCTGTGTCCCCACTTGCTGCTACAATGCCTGACAATCTTTGTTGCATGGTGAAGGAATGAATAAATGAATGGCACCAAAAGGATGAGGATATCCCTGCTTTAAAAAAAAGGATGGGGAAGGTGAGCTATTCCCTTTTTCTGGTGGACAATTTGATTTTTTTTTAAAGTCTTGAAAACACTAATTTCCAAAAAAGCATTTCCGATTTGCCAAGATTTATAGAGAGCCATGGTTATGAACTTCATGAGCAATTGCTTCTTAAACATTGTGTCTGATTTTTGTCTTGGTAAACCTCTGCTAGGAATTCTGTCCATTCCCCTTCCTCACACCCAGGTGCTTTCTTCTTCTTCTTCTACCACGACTGAATACACATCCTTCTGCTGACCAGCGGCTGGATATCCTGGTTCCCAGACGAAGGCCCAGGTGGCTCTTCACTACTGGCTAATCCGAATCCATTATCTGTGTGAGGAGCCAGTGCTTCCTCTGGGTGGACTTTTCTGAAGCTAAACTGATCTTTGGGGGGAAATGCATTCTACAGAAAGCAATGCTGTTCTCCCTCTAGTCACCTTTTTTTTCTCTTATTCCTTTGCTCCCAAATATATCCTAATACCTTTCATTAAAAGCATATTATCTAAGAAGACTCCAAACACAAATGGTTGAGATTTTTCCTTTCCACCATACTTTCTGAGCCACCACTACGTTAACAGGTTGCTCTAAAGAATATCCCCTTCTTGTCTTGCTGCACCGCCCCCCTTGCCCCATATTCCTAACACAATCTTGGATATTTTTACAACATATATTCAGTTTGAAAGATAATACCGATACCTTGTTTTATATGAACATTTATACACCAGGACCCTGGCAAGGGACTGACTTCATTGGGATACTTTATAGCTTAATACATCTGAATGATTTATATCTCGTTTTGTCTAAGCATTTATGCTAATAAATTTAACAGATTCTCCAGTACTGCCTGGTCCCTAGTTTTCTTCAGGGGGTCAAAGTGAGAGGAAAATAAAGCAGCATGTTATTAAAGAAAGAGGGAAGAAATTGGCCAAACTAATTTAGAACACAAAATTATTGCACAAATAAAATCTCTGCTTACAGTTAAGCTAGAATCGCAGTCAAAAAGAAAAGGGGAAAAAAAAGTTCCTAGACACAGGTAGATTTCTGTAATTAAGCCATTTCTCAAAGGGGAAGTAAATGTGACAGAATATTTAGCAAGCTAATTTACTGAGGAATATTTTGTTCCCATATAATTAAATTCAACACTGAGGTAAAACTGACAACTATTAAACTGAGGGCAGTTGGGAGAGGGAAAAGGGATGAGATAAAATCCAGTCTATAAAACATATTCCATTATCTCTTATAGGTTAAAAAACACAAAAGAAATATTTGGAAAGAATTGTCTAAGATGGAAAGATTTTAAGATTGTGTTTGTGTGTGTGTGTGTGTGTGTGTGTGTGTGTGTTTTACAGGTGCAGAATTTTTTTTCTCTCTCTAGTGGTTTTTCTTTTCCCCATTTTTTCCCCCCGTTGTTTGCAAAGTTGAATCTGGGGTCAGGAGTTCTAATTGTAACCTCAGACTGGAATTCCAGATGGTGCGCTCAGGACTGGAAGCAACTCTCAGTTCATCAATTTCATGGGCCTACGTATCTGCTCTGGCCACGGCCTGGCCTCCATCCCCACTGTAGCATTAATGCAGAACAAATTGAGACATATCCTCTATATAATTAGTTCCAGAATTTAAAAAGATTTACGGTATAATAATAGAGGCAGAGCCGCGGAATCCTTTCATTGAGGACTCTCCGGGAGCTCGGGGACCATCTCGCGGTGGCATCGGAACAGACGGGTAACCCTGGCGGCTCCCAGGCACTGCGACCTGGGGGAGAAAGGGACATTTTGCATCGCACTTCGCAGTATCTAATGGTTCCAAGCCCCGGGATAGGGTTAGAGAGGAGAGTTAGAACCGTAAGTGGGGACTAGTTAAAAAAAAAGAGTTAATTTTGAAATGATCAGAAGAAGCTGGGAGTAGCTATCACAAAAGCCCTTCCCTTGTTTTTTTTTTTTTTTTAAATTAAATAATTGACGCTGAAATTTCTACCATCCTAAGCAATTGCCGCGCATCCCGGAGTGGGCAGATTCCGAGGAGCTGGAGTCGGCCGGGAGGAGGGAGGGAGCAGCTGTCTAGCTGACTTGTGCGTGGGGCTCGGCGCAGGCCGCGAGGAGAGGTGCTAGTCGAACGCTAATTTCTCTCCGGCTACAGGCGGCAGCGAGGTCGAGCCACTCTTTATCACAGCCTGCATGCCCCGCGCGTAGGGTGGCTGCCCCCGCCAGTGACCGACCGCAGCGCTTTGGCGTGTTTATTCAATTGTCCGTGGCCGCTGGGTGACTCCCCGAGGGCGGCTGGGGAGTGCGCAGTGGTCCCTGGGGTTGCGGCTGTAGCAGTCCAGCTCCGCTCTCGGTCAGATGAAGTGGACAGCGCAGGGGTGAAAGTAGGGGTTGAGAGATCCTCACTGCCCTCCTCCCACCCAGCCTAGATTTTTTTCATCTTGCAATAATTATGCACTCTTGAGGCCTGGAAGCTTGCGCTTTGCCAGTGCACCAACGCCAAATGCTTTTCCAGGCGCTCTCCTCGCCTCTGCGTCCCATTAGCCCTAAAGAGGCAGAGGGGTGGTGGGTAAAACCCCCAACTGGACGTTGAGAGACCTGGGTTTCAGCTGAGCTTTGCTTCCTGTCCTTAAACAGTAGTAGTAACAAAAACTGTAAAGTTGATTGAGTCGAAGGCCAACACTACTCTCCTATCTAATCCTCAGAAAGACTCCATGAGGAGGGAGCTAGTATCCCATTATCTCGTTTGACCAGTAAGGAGACCTAGGCTGAGAGAGACTGCGTCTAGGGTCACACAGCTGTTGGTTACCTGGCAGAGATGAGATTCCATTCTGGGATCACCAATCCCTTGCTCTTTACCGCTGCGCTCCACAGCTTGCCTCTCCTTCGGCTGTCTGGGCCTCAGTTTCCTTCTCTATAAAACGAGGAGTTCAATCTGCAGCTTTCTTTGCCCATAGGTGTTTGAGAATAGGAACCTCTGCCACAGATCTCGGCGGCGCTGACAGGGATAGGAAGGTGGGGGAAAGAAGGGAGCGCCCAGGTCTCACAGCCTTCTTTTCCCTGGGACCTTGGGCGGGCCTCTGGAGCTAAAGGAAGTGCAGGAGAGCGCATACCTTCCGTGGCGGGTGGAAGGTGCGACCTGCCTACCGGCCAGGCTTTGCGTCCTGCTGCTTAGCTCACCGTGCCAAGGCCAGCGCAGCCGCAGCCGGCGCACCCCCCTTGGGTAATCTCAGTTCTCGCAGAGTTACCCATAAGAAAGAAGAGAAGAGAGGCTTGGAGCGCCCTGTGACTGCACGAGTTTGTCAATTTCCCAGCGCTGGTTTAGGGTCGCCTGGGTTTCCGGGACTGTGGATCCTTGGGGGTCTTACGGAGACTTCCTGTCGGATCTTGGGGTCCAGCGACTGCGGCTCCAGAGTTTAGCATTTACTTCTCGGCCCTGCAGGCAGCAGGGAACTCCTCCCACCTCTTCAGTCTGAGAAGTCAAAGTCGGGGCGAAGGGGCGCCCCGGGGTTCGCGCCAGTGCACTTCCCCTCCCCGCCCCCACAGGGATTCTGAGAAAACAAAAGGCAGAGGAAAGAGGAGCCCTAAATTTGCTCTGCTCCCTTTTCCTCCCACTCACCCCTACATCCTCCCTCTCCCCGGGCAAAAACTTATTTTTTGAAAGTATCGGTTAGAGATTTACGGGTCTTTGCTGTACCTGGGTTTCACAAACACAGGCTCACATTCAAGCCAGTCTCCCTCCAGATAACCTCCTTTCCCCCGCTAAAAGTGCCAAGGATGGTAAAAGAAGAAACAATCTCAATCTTTTCGTTGGGAAATGGAAGTCCCTTATAGTGCTTGAGTCCTGGTTAAGAAAAACGACTTGTAAGCAGAAATAATATGCGGGGAGAAGGAAGGGAGAGACAGGGATTTGGGCGTTCGTGGGGCAGCTGGTAGTGAAATTTGTCTCTCGAGGCCTCTCTCCACTCAAAAAACCAAATGCACGAAACCCCTAAAGATTTAGGGATAGAGCGTGTGGGAGGGGATTGGGCAGAGAGCGTAGGGGTCAATGTCCTGGAGAATCTTTCTTAATAATAATTTTTAAAGCTTCTGAGTGGAGATGAAGCAAAGTCAAGCAGCAAAGGTGGCCTGGGGGGCAAGCGGAGGGCTCCCGTTCCGTACCTTTACCCTTCTCCTGCGACTACGGGATGCGCATCCCCAAGAAGTGCGCCCTTCGGGTAAGTCCTGGGGCCACAGGGGTCTGCAGGACCCAGACCCGCAGAATTTAATGGCGACAACGTTTACGCAATGCAAGCTAAAAACCAAAACGTAAAAAATAACTATGTCATTTATTAAAACGCCATCCTTTGTCAAACTGCAACTACTTTGCTTCACCTAAGTTTGGCTGGAAAGCTTGGAGCCCCAGCCCGGGCGAGCCAGGTACAGGAGGCCAGACTGCACCGGTTGCTTCCCTTCCGGTGCGCCCAGCCGTCCCACGCTGTGCGGTTGCTGCTGCCTCCTGGCGCCCCTGGGCATTTACACGCGCCTCTGAAACACTTTCCGCTCAGGGCTCCTGGTACTTCTCATTGCCTAGGGTTTTCCCCCAATAGATCCTGACTCCTTTATAAGATCCGAACACCAAACCAAAACAACCTCCCTCCATCCCGCCCCAAACACCTCTGGGGCGCGGAGGCTGCCAAACAGAGACTAGATGAAGGGCGTATAATTTGGCGAAGATCTTCGAGCTCCCAAAGATTCGAACACTACCTCGGACCCGTGGGCCGATGGAGGCTCTCCCTTCTCCACTCCTTGGTCCCCCTAATTGGCTTCCGCCTCCTGGTCAATCAATCACTGAACAACCAGAATAGTATCCTCGACCAGGGACGCAGGCAGTGCTCGGTGGAGTGGCTCCAGGAGCCACCCTCTCTCAGCCCAACTTCTTATCCAAATCCTCCCCTTCACCACTCCTCCCACAACTGGGCGCCAGGATGCTCTGGCCGGAATATACGAAGGCTTTGGGCGTTTGCCCAAGGGTTTTCTTCCCTCCCAAACTAGCCGCTGTCTTTCCGGCTTAATCGTAGAAGAATGACATATTCCTCACTGGAAAGGGACACTTAAGGGCTACTGACTCCGATTTTAGGTAGGCGGCAACCGCCCTCCGCTGGGCGCAAACCTCAACAGGTAAACAACCACCAGCCGATCGAAACACGCCCGGTTTATAACTGGTACAACTCCCAGCCACCCAACTGGGGCACCTTCGCTTCCAATCCCGACCTCTGGAACCCCAAAGGGCCGTCTCTCTCCGCAGTGACCCCAAGATCATGGCCACCACCCCTACCCGACGGCTCTAAAAGCTAGAGACTCAAGGGTGCAAAGCAAGGGTATCCGCTTCTTTGAGGCCCGAGAGTTCTCTGCGCTTTCCTGAAGTTCCCGCCCTCTTGGAACCTACCTGCTCCTCCCTCCAAACCACTCTTAGATTAACAACCCCATCTCTACTCCCACCGCATTCGACCCTGCCTGGACACTGTGCTTACCTGAGGGGACTCTCCAGTGAGACGAGGCTCCCACACTGGCGAAGGCCCTGAAAGGGAGGTGGGGGGAGGGTTGTGCCACACCGGCCAGCTAAGAACGCGTGTTTGGTTGAAGAGGAGGGTGTCTCCAAGAGGGACTCTCCCTCGGACCCGCCCCCACCCCCGCTGCGAGGACGCCCTCGAGGAGCGGCGCGCGCTGCCGGGCTGAGCTTGGGCTGCTGAGTGAATGGAGCGGCGAGCCTCCTGGCTCCTCCTCCTCCCCCCGCCGCCGGCCCCGCTTATTTGAGCTTTGGGAAGCTGGGGGCAGCCAGGCAGCTGGGGTAAGGAGTTCAAGGCAGCGCCCACACCCGGGGGCTCTCCGCCATCCGACCGCCTGTCCGCTCCCCTCTTCCTGCCCTCCCTCCCACCTACTCATTCACCCACCCACCCACCCACCCAGAGCCGGGACGGCAGCCCAGGCGCCCGGGCCCCGCCGTCTCCTCGCCGCGATCCTGGACTTCCTCTTGCCGCAAGAGCCGGCTTCCACGTGTGCCCCGGAGCCGGCGTCCCAGCACACGCTCCGCTCCGGGCCTGGGTGCCTCCAGCAGCCGGCGCAGCGGGGAGTCCGGGATCCGGGCGGCATCTGGGCCAAGTTAGGCGCAGCCGAGGCCAGTGCAGAACGTCTGCCCGGCCGGAGGAGCCGCGGGGAGTCTGGGGCTGAGCTGCAGCAAATGGGCTCCGACGTGCGGGACCTGAACGCGCTGCTGCCAGCCGTCCCCTCGCTGGGTGGCGGCGGCGGCTGCGCCCTGCCTGTGAGCGGCGCCGCGCAGTGGGCGCCGGTGCTGGACTTTGCGCCCCCGGGCGCTTCGGCTTACGGGTCGTTGGGCGGCCCCGCGCCACCGCCTGCTCCGCCGCCACCCCCACCGCCGCCGCCCCACTCCTTCATCAAACAGGAGCCGACCTGGGGCGGCGCCGAGCCACACGAGGAGCAGTGCCTGAGCGCCTTCACTGTCCACTTTTCCGGCCAGTTCACCGGCACAGCCGGAGCCTGTCGTTACGGGCCCTTCGGTCCTCCTCCGCCCAGCCAGGCGTCATCCGGCCAGGCCAGGATGTTTCCCAACGCGCCCTACCTGCCCAGCTGCCTCGAGAGCCAGCCCGCTATTCGCAATCAGGGTAAGTAGGCTGGGGAGCGCCCCCTACGCACGGGGCAGTGGCGCCAGGGGCTCTCCGCCCTAGACACCCCCCCTATCCTGCCCCATCCCAGACCGCAGCTCTTACCCGGCTGCTTCCCAAGGGCCGTGAGGGTAGCGGAAGCGGCGGCTGGGGAGGAGGCCGGTGAGTAGGAGTGCACGCCGGCAGGGGCCCCCGACATCCTCCAAAGCCAGGCAGCGCTGGGAGCCTGACTTTTCGCCTGAGCCGGGAGGCCGTCTGGGGCCCCTTAGAGCCTGAGAGATTCCGGGACTGCTAGTCCCCACGGGAATGGGACGAGGAGACCGGCGCAGTGTCTGACTTTGGTTCGGGAAGAGGTTCTGTTGATTAAGGAAACACCAAATTGTTACAAAGCGTTGGGCTTTTCAGACGTCTGGACTGTGGATTCATAGTGGGACCAGCGCGGGGTGAGCCCCTATGCTGTGCTGCCTCCGCCGCTCTAAAATGTCCAGAGTACCTCCAGCCCTCGTAATACTGTGCTGACACACAGTAGGTGCACATTAAGTATCATGGATAACTTAGAATAAGCAAACGCACCACCAGTCACTAAATGGCTTTCTGGAACCGTGCCGTGTGCGCGGATAGCTCTCGCGTATAGGAAGGCAGAAGTGGATCTTTCTCTGGGCTTCACTCAGGCGGCAGCCACGCAGGTTCTGGAGATGGAACAGACCTTGACTTATCCAAGCTATTGACTTATTCCAAGCTATGCGGGACCACGTTCTGCCGCAGACAGTGGAAGGAGGCCAGAGTCTTGGCCTTTCTTTCAGCGCATCTGGGGGGCCTCTTTATCTTGTAAACGCGGGCCTCAGCTAGGAAAATATTTCTTCAAGACCTGGAGTTAGAACAAGGACAGGTTTATTCGCTGTGCTCAGTCAGGATACCAGGAGGGACCTCGGCGCACGATAAGGTATCACGTTGGTTTCTAGTCCCGCGCCGGCGCCCGCCCACTTCTCTTTAGCTCAGGCCGCGCGGACCTTATCCTGCAATGCCCCTGTAGTTCGTCCTCTTCATTTATTCTCAGTGGATTTCTAAGCTATTGAGAACCTAAGCCAGTTAGAGTTCACTAGGTATTTTAGTAAATGCTTTACTAACACAATGGCGGATGCTTTTCCTGGAGCAAAATTTCTCGAGTGCCTAAGGAATGGGATGTTTCTGGAATGGGTGGAAAGTAGAGTGTATCTTTTGCAGGAGGTACCTTCCCCCAACGCGCAGCAGAAGGGCTCTGCTTTTGTTGCCAGCCTTCACCCGCGCCTTCTACTTAAGGCCGATACTACCCCAGCCCAACCAGCAGCACCGGGCCCACCCAAAGCCCTGGAGAAATCGAAACCGCCTTTTTCGTGCGGAGAATCTGGAATCAGTATCCCGCGGAGGAACCGCAAGCAGACCCAAGGGTTGCCTCCACTCTGTGCCTTTAGTTAGTGAAATTAGTGTTTTGTACTCAAGGGGCCTTGGGACAAGTTACCGCTGAGGCTTGTGTTCTTTGATTAGATGCGCTACCTCTATTTAGCAGGCTGGTGTTACTTTTGGGAAGTTACTAAGTCTCAGTGTCCCCGTCTATAAGAGGATTGCTGAGATGGGCAATCTGGAGATTGGGCCCGGCTTGAAGTATTCTTCAGAGATGCAGAAGCGCGACCCACTGTCGTCTTGGGGCTTTAAATATGGAACTCCGCAACCCATCTAAACATCTGTGACTGAGAAACCGTGAATCTCTGCATGTGTGCTATTTGGAGAGGATTGAGAAACCATTGAGTCCATGCCCCTGGGGCACAAAATACTACTTTGCCATTATCCTTTTAGTACTTCTAGAGGATTTTTGAAACCTGGGCTCTGTCCCTTCAGTTTGGGTCCCTTGTCCAGCCCTCTTCAGGGCAGATCTGGTGCCTGAGGTCTTAGCACCCAGAAAGGGGTGGGATGGGACTTCGGGTTTCGCAGCCAGCGGGCATTATCACTAATGGAAAATATCTGGATTCCTCTATAATACATAGGCGTGGGTGCCATAGAGAAAATGTTAAAGGGGGACCAGGACTAGCAGGTGAATGTATCCTCCCTATCCACCCTGGAGAAAAAGCCCAATGGGGAGACGGCCCCAGATTCAGGTCATACAGCCTGGAAGCGCTATCTGTAGGTTTAAGTTTCGTCTTGCAATGAAAACAGATGGGTTGAGCTTACCCAGCCATTGAGGATCATTGGGCAGCTTGGATGTGAGAAGCACTCCAGCTGCCACCCTGGAGTGGGCAACAAGGGTAGCCCTAGAGAATCTGGATTTATTCTTCTGATTTCCAGGGTTCCTGCTGCTTTCCCAGCAATGCAGGGTCTGGCCTGAGACTTAGGCTATGAGAGGCAAGGGCATCAATTCTCTCAAAAACGTGGAAATGGCCATGAGAGCGCTAAGGCCAAACCCTAGGGGAGAGGAATTGTGGGTGTCTCTGGATCCCTAGGGCAGCCTAGCCATGGTGCACAGGCAGGGGCAATTGCTGGTACCCACTTACAACCCTTCACAAATCTTCACAAGTATGTTCATATTTTAATTTCTTAAATAGTATACCTGGCATCCTAATCTTGTAAACATTAATTTAGCAAACATCAGTCACCTACTTGGCCAGGTACTGGGGAGTGAATATTAATTAAGACAATGGCTTCAAGAACCTTTGCAAGAAGCTCACAGCCTGATCCTGGAGAAGCCCTTGTTTTGAATGAAGAAATCCAGGCTCTATGAGATTAGGTGGCAGAGCTAGGATTTGAACCCAGACCATTCCAAGGTGTTTCTACTCCTTTTCCAGGGATCTTGGCCCCACTGTTGAGACAGATTTCTTATGGCCCGCTGGAGGGGTGCCAAACTCTTAGTCCATGTGTAAGGGTTGAAGGGTTTGTGAAGGCAGAAGTGGGGGTGAGGATTTGGGTAGCCCCAGACTAGATGCAAGGCTTAAGGAGGAGGGGAAGAAAACCTTGCTAAGGCGGGAGGCAGTGGATCACGCCTGTAATACCAGCACTTTGGGAGGCCAAGGCTGTTGGATCACCTGAGGTCAGAAGTTCGAGACCAGCCTGACCAACATGGTGAAACCCTCATCTCTACTAAGAATAAAAAAAAACAAAAAACAAAACAAAACAAAAAACTTGCCAGCATGAATGGCGTGCGCCTGTAATCCCAGCTACTTGAGGCCGAGGCATGAGAATCGCTTGAACACGGGGGGGGGGGGGGGCAGAGGTTGTGGTGAGCTGAGATTGTGCCACTGCACTGCAGGCAGCCTGGGCGACAGAAAAACTCCGTCTCAAGAAAAAAAAAAAAGTTGCTTGCTAGTCTACGCCTGATCCTGAAGCCCGTCTAGCTGGCAGAAAGCTAACGTTTGATTAGGCCTGGGATAATCAGGCCACCCAGGGTCAGGTGCGGAAGCCTGCGAAGACCGAGGGCCAAAGGCTCCCCCTTTCGGTCACGTACGAGAGGGTATTTTGTTAGGGGACGGGTTTTCCCGGATCCCGGTGCAGCTGTAGTCATCGTTTTCAGCCTTCCTATCACCTTCCTGACTGAGTCTGCTGTCCATTTCACCCCTCAGTTCTCTCAGCCGGGCTGGGCCAGGCGGTGCCCCGCTTCTCCGCTGCCGCGGGCGGGGTGTGAGGGCTCAGAGCGCGTCTCGCCTCTTCGCTCACGGTCAAGGTTGCGCTCCTCTCCCCGGCCGGGACTAACCGTGGGAAAGGCGCTACTCATGTCTCTCTCTCCGAGGGCCACTCATGTCTCTCTCTCTGAGGGCTGTACAAGGAGGCTTTGAACACGCTGCTCCTTCTAGCCGGCAGCTGTCCCTCCCCCGGCCCCTGCCCCCGCACTCTCTGCGCCAGGCCCAGAGCGGGGTCCAGGGACAGTGAGCTCTAATCAAACCCGCGTCCGATTAGCTTCTAATCAAAAGAGACCTCCCTCCGCTCCTCAGGCGCTTTCACCACTGCCCCTTCCGGGGGAAGCTGAAGAAGGGGTTCGAGGCCGGTCTTAACCGGCCGCCAAGGTCTGCGTGTCCTGTCTGGGAGGGGGCCTAGGAAGCCTCCCGGGCCACGGGCATCCTTGGGCCCGAGTTCTGGGGTGCGGACGGACGTCGCGAGCGTGGGTGCCGCAGCCCCTGGGGACCCACGGCCCTCGCTGGGCACGGACAGTTGCAG